ACAGCATAGAGTTTGGTTGTGATTTTTTTATCAAATAGAACAACTGCAACCTTTGCATGGAAGCTTTTAGACTATTTAATATAATTTTAATAGTTTTACATTTAAGACTGCCATTTGTTATTTATTTTCTATTTTGCCATCTGGTTTTTTTTTTTCTCTTTATTTCTTTTTCTCCTTTTCCACCCCACCTTCCTTTGGACTGAGTTTTTTTCCTTGCCTAATTTCTTTTTTGTCTTATTTTTTGATTTTTTTTTTACATTTTAACAAGTAATTAGCAAATTTTTTTTAATTTTAAAGATGCGGGGTACAATTCAGGGTTAGGTCCATAAATGGTCATAAAAATTGTTATTACACTTATGGTGTACAACATACTGTTTTGATATATGTACACACTGTGAAATGGCTAAACAAAGCTATTTAACAAACGCATTACCTTACATACTTATCATATATTGTGATGAGAACACTTCAAATCTCAGCAATGTTCAAGTATGAAATACATTGTTATTAACTTTAAGCACCATGAGATACAATAGATTTCTAACTGTAATTTTGTGTCCTTTGACCAATAGTTCCCCAATCCTACCCCTAACCCTACTTCTAGTAAACTCTATTTTACTTTCTGTTTCTATGAGTTCAACTTCTTTCGATTCCAGTGTGAGATCATATGGTATTTATCTTTCTATGCCTGGCTTATTTCACTTAACATAATGTCCTTCGGGTGTCATCTATGTTATCACAAATGACAGGATTTCCCTCCCCTTTTTCAGCTGAATAGTTTTCCATCATGTATACATGCAATATTTTCTTTACCCACTCATTTGTTTATGGACACTTAGGGTGATTTCTTATCTTGGTTATCGTGAACAATGCTGCAATGAACATGAGAGTATAGATATTTATTTAACATATGATTTGATATTCTCTGGATATATAGACAATAGTGGATTTCTAAAATCATGTTAGTTCTATCTTAAATTTTTTGAGGACTATACTATTTTCCATAGTGGCTGTACTACTTGACAGTCCCATCAATAGCATATGAGTTCCCTTTTCTCTACATCCTTGCCAACATTTGTCTTCCATCTTTTTGATGACAGTCATTCCAACAGGTATAACAGTAACATTTCATTGCATTTTTAATTTACTTTTCTCTGATGAATAGTGATGTTGAGCATTTTCCTATATGCCTGTTGGACATTAGCATGCCTTCTTTTGAGAAACATCTATTCAGGTACTTTGCCCATTTTTAAATCAGGGTATGTGTTTTCTATTTAGTTGAGTTCATTGTAGATTTTGGATATTACCCCTTAACAGATGTATAGTTTGCAAATATATTCTCTCATTCTGCAGGTTGTTTCTTCATTTCTTTGTTTCCTTTGCTGTGCAGAAGCTTTTTATTTTGATACAATTCTAAGAGTATTTTTTAAAATTCCATTTTATCTCTTTTGTTGGCTAATTAGTTATAACTGTTGTGTATTTTTAGTGGTTGCTGTAAGGCTTTCAGTATACATTTTTAATATAACCTGTCTCCAAGTGACATTATATCACTACACATATGGTATAAAAGCTTTGCAAAAAAAACTTCAGGCCTTTGTGCTGTTTCCTTAACTTTTAGTTTTAAACATTATAAATCTTACAATACATTGTTACTATTTTTGCTCTAAAAATAGTTGTTATTTTTGGTGGTCTTTATTCCTCTGTATAGAGTCCCATCTGGTATGTTTTTTTCTTCTGCTTGAAGGATTTTCTTTTCTGCTGGTGATAAAATATCCCAGTTTTTGCATGTCTGAAAATTTTTATTTAAGTTTTGTTTTAGAAGATATTTTATTTGAGTACAGAATACTCATTTGACAGTTTAATTTTTTTCAACATTTTTCTGGCTTGCATTGTTTCTGCAAGAAGTCAGTTATTATTCTTTTTTTTTTTTTTGAGTTGGTGTCTCACTCTGTTGCCCAGACTGGAGTGCACTCTCCTCTTTATGTAATGTTCCCCCCATCCCTGATTTCACTTTTTTTCTTCTCATTAGTTTTAAAGCAACTTGATATAGTTTTTAAAAAAATTTGATATAGCTTTCTTCATTGGTGTTTGTTAAACATTTTAGGTCTGTATGTTTTGGTTTCCAGAATATTTTGAAAAATTCTGACCATTACATCTTCAAGTGTTGTTTTTTCTCTCCCCATCCCTCCTCTTTGTCAGGGACTCTGCACATATATTAGGCTGCTTGAAGTTGTCCTTCAGTTCACTGATGCACAGTTTATCCTTTTTTAGCCTCCCCCCACCCCGTTTTACTATGGATAATTTCTATTGCTTCATCTTCAAGTTCATTATCTTTTCTTCTGCAAAGTCTAGACGTCTAAATTATTTTTTAAGCCATTCATATCTGTTTAACATACTTAATCCTTCCTCTAGCTTCATGAACACATGCAGTTATAATAATTGTTCTAATGTCCATGCTAGTAATTCTATCATCTCTGTCATTTCTGGGGGTCTATTGAATTTTTTTTCTCATTACGGGTTGTATTTTCCTGCATATTTGCATGTAGGATAACCTTGAATAGATGCTAGATATTGTTGAATGATGCACATTTTGAATTTCTATAAATATTCTTGAGCTTTGTTCTGGGACATAGTTAAGTTACTTAGAAATATTTACCCTTCTAGATATTGCTTTGTTAAACAGGAACAAAACAGTATTTAGTCTAGGGCTAGTTAGTTCCCACTACTGACACAAAACTCTTCTAAGTACTATACCCTCCACCCCTATACTTCAACCATATAGTGGCTGGTTGGAGTAGGCATTACTCTTGCATGAGGTTCAATTAGTGTTCCAATACTTTCAGGTGGTTCTTTCACTAGTTTTAGGTAGTTTTCTCATATTCACCTGCTGATTTCTACAGATATTCAGAGCTTGGTTTTATAACCCACTTCTACCCTCCTATACTCTGCCTTGCACACTAGCTGTCTTGGCCTCCCTGATCTCTCAGCTCTGACGTTTTATTTTTATTTTTTTGAGTTGGGGTCCCACTCAGTCACCCAGTCTGGAGTGCAGTGGCACAATTACAGCCCACCACAGCCTCAACCTCCTGGGCTCAGGCTATCCTCCTGTCTCAGCTTCCCAAGTAGCTAGGACTGCAGGCGAATGTCACCAAGCCCAGCTAATTTTTTTGATTTTTAGTAGGGACAAGGTCTTGCTATATTGCCCAGACTTGTCTTGAAATCCAGGGTTCAAGCAATCCTCCCACCTGACCTGGTGGGCTCAGGCAATCTCTGCCTCAGCCTTCCAAGTAGCTAGAACTACGGATGTACCACCATACCTGAATACATTTTTTGATTTATTGTAGAGATGAGATCTCACCAAGTTGCCCAGGCTGGTCTAGAACCCTTGGACTCAGGCAATCCTCTTGCCTCCACCTCCCAAAGTGCTTGGATTATAGGTGTGAGCCACTGTGCCCGGTTGAGCTCTGACTTCTCAATGTGGGAGAATGCCACACTTTACTTGGGTTTCCCATCCTTGCCACAGACTGGGAATTCTCTCAAGGTTAGAGCTGAGTTAACTGTAGAGCTTGTTTCATTTGTTTCCTCTCAAGGACCATTGTTTTTTTTTTATTGACTAATATCCAATGTCATGTAAACTGATGGAAATAGTATATAAAATCATTATTTCATATATTTTGTCTTAGATGAGGGGTTAAATTCAGCCCTTGTCATACCATGTCAGGTGACAGCAGGAGTCTTAATATGAAAACTGAAAACTCAAATCATATGCCAGAAAGCTCCCTTGCCACCTAGTTATCTGTTTTATAGCCCGCAAATTCTACTCATGATATCTTGTAATGCAACTTTTGAAATGTCAGTCAAATATACCCTTTTTTCCCTTTCCCATACTGTGTTAACCACCCCATCTATGCTCTCTATTCATACACACTTTAATGCTAATAACTTCTGAAAAGACCTTCCTGGCTCTAGACTTTAAACCAACCTATACATTTCTATTAGATACATTTTTAAAATTGTTGTTTCCCAGAACCTAGAATCTGCTGTACACTGGCACTCAACAAAGTTGCTGAATTAATAAATTATTCTTCCTTAACAATCAATTTATTAGTTACTTCTGTGGCTCCTAATTGAGCTCCCTTATCCATAGATCAAGTCTAAGCTGAGGTTGCCAATCGATGCTTTACAGAATCTGGTACTAAAAACCTATGTGAAACCTTGCCTATGTTGAACTCCCTAGAATACATGGTTCATTTTAACATATATCTTACAGATATTACTAACTATAAGCCTCTTTTCATATGTTCCTTCCATCTGGAGGGTCCTCTCCATTCTGTCTCTTAAATTTTATCTATCTTCAGTTAAAAAAAACCTCCTTTGTAGTGTCCATACATAACTGACTCTTATCTGAATTTTTATAGCATCTATTGTCTCTGCTTGTTTGAGCACTTTGTTTCTTCTTTGAGTTTTTTTGGTTGCATATATTTACCTTTTGTCTTTTCAAATGGACTAAAATCTTAGAGAGAGAGGAAATATCTCCTACAATTCCTTTATATATCTTAAGGCACAGTAGGTACTTCAATAGACATTTAAAAAATGATTAATTTTCAAATTCTACCTTAGAAAATATTATTGGGTCGAGCTTCTAAAGTATACTTCACCTTGTTATTTTTATTTATCAAATAAAATACTTTGTTCCAGTTTCTACAAAATAATTAATTAAATATAAGGGATGTCATGTCAAATAATATTTCAACAGAAGCCAAGGAAGTCCTAATATCACGTAGCCAGTGAACACAAACTAGTTATTTATTTATGCAAACATACTGTAAAATTCCTCTAAATCTTCAAAAAAATTTATGTTTTTATGAACACATGGAATGAAAAATCCAAAGTGAGTATCAAGATTTCATTTTTAGTTCATAAAAAATAGTGAAGTAAAATTCCCTTCCACAAACACAAAAGAGTGAGAAAATGTAAAAAACAAAACCAAAAAAACCATCCATTTCTACCTTGGAAAAGGCATGAGGTTTATTTTTTCAAATGTATTTCAACCATAGGAATTCCCATAAAAAGATTAAATTATTATGTCATAATGACACCTAGAAAACCTACATAGCTTCACCCCTTGACAACTAAATTTAGGACACATACAAAAAACTCTTCATACAGAATATTTTTATACTAGAAAACAGGTAATTCACATTCTGATAAAGAGCAAAAGACAAGTGCTTTATTATGAGAATTGTTCAAGTAAAATTTCAGTGTGCACCAGTGAAAGTGAATAAAGATTTGCATCAATTTTTTTGAATGAACACTAGGTTAAAAAGGGGCTACACTTTTTTTCCCCAAACACCACCCTTTGCTAAGGCAAAAAAATACACTTCATTTTAGAACAGAACTGTTACAGAAGAAAGTGACATCACAGTACAGTACAGAATGTAAAATTCATCCTATTCTGGAAGCCATTATGGAATGGCACGCCACCTACACTTAGCGCTTTCTAATGTAGGTTAGAATTACAGTATTTATCACAGCTTTATTTTTCTTTAAACTGATAAAATTCGAATACAGTTTCTATTTCTCAGGCGTGTGCAGATGGGGCCCATATGTTGATATTACAGTAATTACAACATTAAATAACATTGCACAGTCAACCTCCAAGGCTAATTCAGTATAAAATAACAAGTATTAAAATGTACCTTTACTAGGGGTTTTACATAGCATATATCACTAATTATGAAAGAAAAATAGGCAAATGCCCAATTACAAAGCTGCACATTATAGGCATAATGATGAGGAATAAATACAAGAAATCTGGCAAAATATTTAAAACGAACAAGTTATATGGGCACAAACCGAACAACCACAAAAGCATAAATCAATAATATACTGTTATAAATAGTATGCTTTGCTCACAAGTCTCTTAAGTACTTACACATATTACAGTGGCAGGGGTAGGTGAAGAGGATGGGAGGAGAATGAGGCAAATGTTCCCAATGCCAGTTAATTCCTGAGGTGGCATTATTTCTTAACTGATGCATTGATAAACACTGTAACGATGAGCTTGTGCTATGAAACAGTCCCAATATTATTATATTCCCGCAATCACATTGCGGTATTCTGAAGGCAACAAACTTAAGTGACGGTTTATGTTATAATAGCCAGATAAAGTATGGTTTCTCTTAAATTTTGCTGCTACAATTAGCAGTGGGTCGGAAAACACTTTGAAGTTCACAAGAAACTGGATATAGATTTAACTTTTTCCCCCAGTGTTTCTTAGTTAGCTCAAGGCAAAGCTATTATTTTCATGTACTTCAATTTAAAAACTCTAAGTGCCAACACTGTGAACATTTTGTATCTTCTCAACTAAACTTTGTTTAATAACAAGAATAACAGCAAAGATGAGTGGGAATAGTTCTGTGTATAATAAAACTGATCTATTTATTAGCTTCTGTTTTAAATTTAAATAGAATTTTAAAATAATTTTTAAAAGTCCATGCTATAATTTTAAAGACTATTTCTGTGCACTTTTAATTCTGGACACAATTTTCAAAATTGCATGATGAAGATAAGAATTTAAAAAACCCACCAGAATGTAAATAATAAGGAAGAACACTTTCAACTCAAAGCATCAAACATACATTTATGTGCAGAAATCTAGACAACCATACACGTTTTTAAGCAATCATGTTTTATTATACAACTCTATGAACAGAAAATGAACAGAAATACACAATATACTTACCTGTACATGTGAACCTAATTTTGAAACTACAGATATTTATTATAGTTCATACTTTAATTTTACAGTTCATAACTATGTATAACCTTATTGCATTAAGGGCAAATTCTACATAGGGAGATTCACAGGTGGACCGCATTAGGCATTACCAGTACATTCAAAACCTGTACCTCATATATGTATGTATCTTCCCTGATCCTTTAAATTTGGGTTTCTTTACAGCTTAAGCTCATTTGCTATTTTGGATGCAATGTTCTTAAAGGCAATAGATGTCCCAGATATTCGCTTGAAGCGGACCCCGTTAAGTGACAGTCGTGGCAACTTGCAGACTTCCATCTCCCACTGCACGAGGCTATCCTGTCTAGCATCTCCATGGACACAGAAAAGCAAAAATCTCTCTTTTTGCTCATAATCACAGTTATTTGCATCTAACACTTTTCGGATTTCTCTCATCATGTCATTAGGGTCCATTGAACTAGTGGTCTTCATACTCCATGTGAACCGCAAAGAACGCGGCTTAGAATCTTTACCCTCTTCCTTGTCTCTTTCTTTTGGTTCCCCTGATGTACTTCTGGAAGAAGAAGGCAAAGGGAAAGAATGAAAACAAAAATTGCATTCAGCAATAAAATAAAAACTCACATAAAAAATCTAAGTGGTCATAATTCAGTGCCTAATAAGACTAACTAATTTAGACTACGCTTAGATAACAAAGATGCACGTTCTCTTGCTGTTACAAAAACTATCTCAAGATGCCATCTGTTTTGACTTTTAATATTGTCAATCTAAAATAGCATATTTTCTTAAATATAATTGTTTGTGAAAAAACAGGTTTGCAGCTGAAAGTGAAGAACTTAATATTTTTTTCAGTTCCTTTCATATTTTTCTGCTCAAGTTTGCAAATGCAGATTCTCCATTTTCTGGATATATATCCAAAACAGGGACCACTAATATTCTGCTTGCAAATTTACAGTTTTGAAATATTAAAAAAAGTTCTTTTCTGCCCTTTTTGGGTAGGAGGATTATAGTAACTACAGAAGGAAAGAGAATTATTTATACCTGACAATGCTGTGAAAGAATGTTGCACTGCAATTACATAAAGATGTCAGATTATATTACACTTCTCAATATCCTCCAGTGATTTTTCATTTCACTAAAGACATTCTTAAAACAGTCTGCAAGGCTTTACAAGACCTACACTCCAAATTCTACTCCCATACCCACATGTCCTAGAATTTTTCTCTTTGCTCACTATTATCAGGACACACTGGTCTCTACACTGTTCCTTGAACATACTGGCTATTGCATAGGCTATTCCCTCTGCCAGGAATGCTTCCCTCTAGGTGATTGCACAGCTGATTCCCTTACTTTTTTCAAATCTCTGCTCACTTTCTCCTTGAGGTTTCCCTTGACCAACCTATTGTACCTTGTCTTCTACCCTAGCATGGCCTCTCCTCCTTATCCTGCTCCATTTCTTTCTCTACAGTACTTATCATATGCTAATATACTATTGAACCCATTTATTAGGTTTATTTTTTATTGCCTAAATCTACAACTAGATTGCAAACTCCAAAAGAGCAGGGAGTTTTGTCTATTTCATTCACTGGTATATCTCAGGCATCTAGAACTGTGCTGGGCCCACAGTAGATGATTAACTCATATTAGTTAAATGAACCAAACTCTCTGAATCATGTTTAATCTAAGTATCCCACAAATAATATAGAATCAGAAAACCTATTTCAAATAATCATAGAAAGGCAAAGTTAACAGATTATTCATGATATAGAACACTCTGCAATTAAATTTTTTGAACAAGTATCCAAATACAGATATTGCAATTTTAGCTTTTAACCTATCTTACTTAGCTATAACTTAAGAAATTATATTTTGAAAAGAGTTTATAATCTAATGCATAAATATAACATACATACATATTATATCAATACTATAATACAATGTATATTCATGTATATATTTACACATATACAACTATATATATCTATAGTCCCTATTATTCCTAGGTATCTAAGCCCCTAAAGCTCTGCAAGTTACGCAAGCTGAGAAAATAAGGAAAGGAATAGGTATAAAAATTAATTTTCCAAAGACTATTAAATAAGTATGGAAAGTATTTATTCCATTGTCTTTTCTACTTTTCTCTTTTTGCTCATTGAATCTAAGCCACTGAACCACAGGCCTCTCTGGGCTTGCAGAGCCAGGCAGAGTCATTGATCAGGGTCACAAGTAAACTCTGGTGATGGAATCAGCATGCTGGAAGAGATCTGAGAGATCACTTAATTGAACACTCATTTTAAAAGCAGAACTAATAGCTAGAAAACTTAAATTACTTTTCTAAGGTCATAGAGTGACTGAGGTCAAATGTGAAGACTAGCATTCAGGTGACTTATTCCAAGTCCAGTTTTCCTTCCATTCCACTTAAAGATGATCTTCAGGCAAGAGATCAAAGTGTTTGTCTGCATGTGTCTCACAACATCACCACTGACATCAGTGGTAGAAAGTTCCCAGAACTGTGGACACTAATAAAGTAACAGCTAGTATGAACACCTTACTAACTAGTATGAACACTTACTAGGTTCAAGAACTGTCCTAAGTGCCTAACATGTATTATTTACTCATTTACTCCTTGCAACAACCCTAAGAGGCGGTCAGGATGAAGAAACGGAGGCATTCAGAGTTGAAGTAACTTCCCCAAAGCCACACAGCAAAATGAGTTGCAGAATGCAGTTCAAACCCACGCGGGCTGGCTCAAGAGCCTGTGCTTCTCATCACTGTACCACACTCTCTCCCTGAAATGGCAGAACCTCATTAGAAATGGTTTGATCCAACCTATGTTCCTTGCTGTTTCTTCATCTGTTTATGGGTATTTTCCAGCTGGTTGTTGTGGGGATTAAATGATCAGAAAGTGCCTTAGAGTCTTTGTTCAAAAGCAAAAAGGAAGTCAAAAACCACCAACAACCAAACAAAATGGAATGTGGGAAGTGTTTATAAACACTTATAGAGATCAGTTACTAAATTAGTGTTATTTATGATGTTAATAAAATTATGCAGTCACATTAAAAAGTTAAAAATGCACAAAGGTTAATTTCAGTATTAGCAGCCATTTATAACATTAAGCACTATTAAATATCTCAGAGGGAAATATAGTGGAAATACAAGATGGGACGCAAGGAGGGGGACTCAAAAATAAAGACTAACTGAGGCAGAGGATAAAAACAAAAGTCTTCCCTGTTTATTCAAGAAGTAGAAGGAAGCTAAAAATATTTGTCTTGCCTCCCTTTGGCTTTCTACCATGGTGACTCAGGTATCTAACTGCACCAAAAAAAAAAAAAAAAAATTCAACTGTTATTACTAAACATAAATCTAGCACAGTTGCTAAAAAAGACTACATGAGAATGTGTAAAGTTTTTCCAAGGTTCATTATACTTTATATTTTGAATAATTTAAAAAATAGAAATTAAATTGAAGGCCAGTGTTCACCTCATCAAAATAGTTTCTTAATGAAGCCAGATGCCTGTCCTACTGTGGAATTCCTTGTTGTTTCTAAGATTTATATTGCATCCCTTAAAGGTTTGTGTATACTCAAAGATATGCCTTCATTTCTTAAGTTTCCCATTTATAAAATATGAACATATGTACTAACATGTCCTTAATGTGGACCTTGGAACAGCAACATAGATCACCTGGGAACTTGTTAGAAATGCAAATGCTCAGCCCTTCTGTCCCTACTAAATCAGAAACCGTGAGTGTGGGGTCAAGCAATCTTTTTATCAAATTCTCCCTGTGACTCTGATTGTGCTCAAGTTTGAAACTTATCACCAGAACAATATACAACTAGTATTAAACATCAAGAAGAAAAAAAAAGATATATAATATGTGGCAGGATACAGTTTTTAAATGTGTTTCAACATTGAATTCTCACTGAAATATATTACTAATATCAAATCTTCCTACATTTAATTATCTCAGTGTTCTATATTATTTGTGCTATATGACTCAAACTAATTTTAGTTATACCATTTTAGTGAGAAAAAAATCAGCGCATTTCAATCTATTAACCTGCTGCTATGACATATTTTATAGAACAGAAAGCCTATTTCTTTACCAAGTAAACAATTCAAAATGCTTGAAAAACACAGATTTAAAGTTGATAAACTTAAATGCTAAGCAACAATATAAAATCCCACTCCAATATAAAAATTTAAAATATACATGCTAACTAGTTATTAGTTCTACTCATGGTTATTACGTGCTGTAAGTATTTCAAAAGCACTTTTCATACACGGGGACCTGGCAGCGAAGTATTAATAGTGGCTCCTCACCTTGAGGTGTCGGTTCTGCCACTGGCTTCGCCTTCACTTGGATCCCTCAAAACAAAGTGAAGGTTGAGATTTAATGATAAAAGTAAAAAAATATATCAAGAAAACCTACATCTAAAATGACTTTAAAATTAACTTGTTGAGCAAACTTCTACCATGATAAACTTCTATTACTAGTCAAATACTATTTCTCATGTTTTTCACTATAGCCACATGTAACTGTAATTTATTGAGCGTCTACTGGGTATTGTCAAGAGAAGATACTAGGTTAAAGTTTAAATTTTTAAAGACATGATCGTCCAATTCCCAACCATGATTTTCCCAGTCATGATTTTGAAGTCATAATTTATCTTTTGGTTTAGTTGAGTTTAATCTAAAGTTAAAACTATTCAATAATTATCAACACCAAGATTCAACTTTATATTTGTTATTACATATAATTCTAGTAGTCGCTCAATTTAGAAAATATAAAAATTAATCTTGTAGTGAGAAATAAAGCTCAACACTTCCATATTTCTAAAAATAAATACCAATTTAAGAATAAGCAATTTATTTCATGCATATGATAAAATATTACAGCAAATCAACAACCTATCTAAGCAGGTGAATCTAAAAATACGAATGCAATCTTAAGCAAAAAAACACTAATCTTACCTGGATATCCACCTGTAAAATGAAACCAGAAAAACACTACTAATTGTCCCAGTGTTGCATGTAATTAATATTTTTGCGGTCTACCAAAATTTTAATTACTTTGTCATTTTTAAAGATTTTGTAATAGAGAACAAAATACCATTAGTTGAAAAAATTACCAACTTGAATCTTTAAGTTAACGTTGTATCAATGTTTTAGCCATTCCAGAAACATTTATATTATGTAAAATGAAAGCAACAGGAGTAAAATCAGTACCATTTCCCCATCTCTCAAATTAATAAAATACACCTACACACCAACCTCTAAACTTTAAATAGTTGTTAAGAATATGAATGCCTCATGACTCTCGGGCCTTTTTTCTTTTTCCTTTTTTTTTTTAAGTCGGGGTCTCATTCTTTCACCAAGGCTGGTGTGCAGTGGCATAATCACAGGTTACCAAAGCCTCAACCTCCTGAGCTCAGGTGATCCTTCTGCCTCCAACTCCCAAATAGCTAAGATTGTAGACAGGCACTACCATGCCTCGCTAATTTTTAAAATTTTTTTGTAGAGACAAAGGCTTGCTATGTTGCCTAGGCTGATCTTGAGTTCCTGGGCTCAAACGATTCTCCTGCTTCAGCCTCCCAAAGTGCTGGGATTACAAGCATGAGCTACCATGTCTGGCTCTCAGGCCTTTCTTAACGAACATACTGCATAAAATAATTTTCCTATTTGAATCAAAAAGGATAAAAAATGTATTCTTGCATTCAAATGGAGTTTCTTAAATTTCTATTTTTAATAACTGGCATTTTCATTGGAAAGTATAGTAAAAATCTATTTTTATTATAGCACATTGAAATAAATAAAACATTTTTGAGCAGGCTCAAAGTGAAAAAAATGTTTTATTTTCAGTTTCATGTAGATGAACTGATACATACAGTAGGACAGTGCATCAGTTTAGCAAGAAAGATAGTAATGCTGTTGACTTCTGCTGCTAAGATAAAATTCCTTTAATAGGAAGGGACATAAATATCACTGGACTTTTCTGTCCTATATACAGACACGTATTCCACTGCTGTCAAAATGTAAGCATTAGGAGGGAAACGTCCCTGAGACCCTACTTCCTCTGCTATAATTAGCTGAAGTAGCAAGTGACCTATACCCTGTTCTTGCCTTCCTGGGTGCCAGTAGGAACACTGACTAGAAGAATTTCTGCTACTTAGCAATGGTTTCAAATAGCCCCAGAAGTCTGCTTTAAGTAACCATGGTGGGAGGCAGATGAGGCTACAGAAGGCACAGCTGGCTGTAACAGCATAAGCAGCAGAGCATGGCTCTCCACCAGTTAAAACTTAAAAAACAACTACCTACATATAGAAATATACCCTCAACAAAGTGGGTTACTCCCTATATAAGAATGAGCTATGGTTGGAAAATCATAAGGTTTGGTGTAAAGAAGCAAGTCATGCAGGTATCTGAGGTAGAGAATTCAGGCGGAAGTATAGCAAGTTCAAAATCCGGAAGCAGTGACTGGTAGACTTGAGGACAGTTAGAAGCCTGTGTTTGTGTGGCTGGTGTGGAATCAGCAAGGCGACAAGTGGGAGAAGGAGCGGTCAGAGAGAAGGGGGGGCCAGACTACAAAGGGCCTCATAGGCCACGGGGAAGGCTCAGAATTGTATTCTGGGCAAGATGAAGCTTTAAATCAAGGTGTGACATGATCAGACTTACAGAGCTGAAACAGAACAGGACAAGGACTGAAGCTAGGAGATCTGATAGAAGGTGACAGATTAGCAGTGGTTCAGATTATGAAGGCAGGGGTGGGAGTGATGGAGGCAGCTCCATTCTGGCAACACTTAGGGAGCAGAGCTGACACAACTTATCAATAAAGGGTCTGACGTGTGGTGTGAGGAAAAGGAGTCACGGATAACTCCAAGGCTCACGGGCTGAGCAACTGAAAGGATGGTGCTGCCAATTCCTAAAACGGTGAAGAATGAGGGAGGGGCAGGTTTGGGAAGAGGACTGGGAGCTGAAATTTGAACATGCTCTGTTTGAGCGTCTGTAATACATCCAAGAGGAGAGGCTAAGCAGACAATTAGATATGAGTCTGCAGTTCCAGAGAGAGATGTAGGCTAAAGATATCATTTGAGTTGTTCATACAGGATGGAATCTAATGTCATAAGCCCGAATGAGATCACCAAGAGAGTGAGGAAAACCAGAGAAGAGAATGTGTCCAAAGACTGAGCCCTGGGACATTCTGATATCTAGAGGTCAGCAAGAGAGGCAAAAAAAAAACACCCAAAAAAACCCAAAAAACACTTGAAAAGAACCAGCAAAAGAGCCTGAGTTTGTGAGGTAGGAGAAAACCAGAGCTAAGTGAAGAAAATGTTTTAGTTGTATGGAATGTTTCATAATAGGAAGTTGCTCATAGGAAGGCAGGAATCCCAGCAGTCTCATTCACTGCTGTAGCAACAGCACCTGAGAAAGTGCCCAGCACGTAGTAGGTCTTCAAATATGTGTTAAGTGACTATATGGCAATCCCTTTTCTGAACCTCCCAACAGACTATCTCTAAGGAACTTTCTTGCTGTGACATTCTGTCTCCTGACTTCTTGTCCAGAGTATTCTTTACTACATTTCCTCCAGAGTCTAATTTTTTTTTCAGAATTTACATTTTTATTGCAAGGTAAAGAGAAATATTTTACTCAATGCTTAATGCACTATTGGTAATAAGCATTAAACTTAAAACCTGTTTGTCTTCACTTTAAAATTAATCTTGGCTTTACCATGAGAAAATATTTGCTTTTTGAAATGGCCTTAAATAGCTAAATTCCAAAATCAGGAACTACTGATAATCTGACTAGTACCCTGCAGATGGTTAGCTAACACTATCATTCAACTTTCATGCTGAATCTGTTGGTGCGCTTTTAGCTCTTATCTCTATCAAGTTGTCATGTGGCATAGAAATTGCCCAAATGGTACAAACTCATTGATATGGCTAGAAACCAATGCTACACTAGAGGATTTAAAGCTTAAATTCAGCAGTGTAAGCCTGGGCAAACTTACCTATAACCAAGTCTTACAAATAGTTCTATGACAAAGCAAGAAACTAAAGCTGCTTCGTCTTTTTCCATATCCACTCTTTGAAACCTGAGAAGCCATAATAACATTAAAAACTAAGTATTTAACCAATATTCTTTAAAGCAGGTTTAATAATTTTCTTACCCATCATTGAAGGCTCAGCTCCAATGCCTGTAAGGTATGGAGCCTTCGCATTTTCCCTAGACAGAAACAACTGTGCCTGCCTCTAGACTCCTTCAGCATGTTGCCCACACTTTTTTTTTAGCACACATTCTGCTGTACATCATGGTTAACTGTTTACATCTCTGCTTCTTCCAAAACTGTAAGAATCTGGAGGGCACAGATGCTGTCTTATCCATCTTTAGATCCTGCTCTGCACAGTGCTTTGTCCATCACAGGACTTAAGTAGGCATTCAGTGGGACACAGGAACAGATCAAATCTGCATCAGCCCACAGTCGTGGTCAGCAGTTTGTATCATCAGTGTGCACTGAACATGTATGCCTACTTTTAGAAAAGAGTATCACTGTACTGCCTTATTAAATTACTATGCATTATTTGCTTTATTTTTACTATGTTTTGATGTTAAGATTTTATGATGTAAAATTACATAAGTAATCTATGACTCCAGTATGTAGACTTTTTATACAAAGAAGAAAAAAAGTAGACTAGTGAGCAATTTAAAAGTATTTTTAAGATAAATAATATTATCTGAAGGATACACATAAGCTCATACTTAATTTCTTTTTCTAAATTAAGTTTTTAAGTATGAGACAATTTTTTTGTTAAAACATACATTTATGATGTCAAGTTTTTACTCTTTTCACTTTATTTTACGGAATTTTTAAATTCTCATTTTGTCCTCCCTCTCCCCTTTCTTCTCTCCTAAGGAAAAAGACTTCTTTTTTATTCCTTTCTTCTCTTCCTGTCCTTTTCTCTCTCCTAAGGAAAAAGACTTCTTTTTTTTTTTTCCAAAAAAAGAACGGCTCTAATGAAATGTCATGAAACCATTTTGGAATATCACCCAAAAGATTAAAGAAAAAAAATAAAATTTCCTTTATAATTTCTGGAGGAAACAAAACATGACAGTACATTAGTACTGACCTGCGAACGAATTTGGATGTGATTTTGCTTATTATACCAGTTGACGTCCCCCTTCTGGCATGTGCAAATGCACCCGTTTCATGGGACGGTGAAGCAGGTGGCCCATTATAAGCAGCACTGCGTCGCTCCCGGAGCTGTTCACCATGGAAAGTGCTTCGGCTCGAGCTCCCTCGGGGAAAACGGGTCCGATCTGGAGTGGCAGCACTAATACTGTGAGCAGATGGGGAAGCAGCAGGCACTCTCTGAGTTGTACTGCTGGGAAAATTAAGATATATTATTTAGAATAATGACAGGAAAAGCTTTCACTCATGCTAAAAACTATGAAAAAAAATGGCTATGGCTATTTTGGCCCTATTTTATTTGTTCATGTCAGAGATGTGAGACTTGGGTTAATTTTACTTTACTGTATCAGTATAGAGGGATAAAATTTCATTTTGAAAGTACCTTTTGTAAAAATTATAAAGAGTAAGAAATTACTGAGACAGGGACATAAGGATAAATACTTCTCAATATCAGTAATACCAAACCAGGTGCTGCAAGTATTTATTTTACTTTTTTCTTTATACGACTCAATAATGTGGAACACAAATTTTATTGTTTATTAAAAAGGCTTTGAGTACAATCACTTCCCATTTCTTTTTTTTTTTTTTTGTGAGTCAGGGTTTCATTCTGTCACCCAGGTTGGAATGCAGTGGCATGAATACAGCTCGTGGCAGCCTCGACCTCTTGGGCTCAGACAACCTTCTGTCTTAGCCTCCAGAGTAGCTGGAACTATAGGCACATGCAACTGTGTCCAGCGAATTTTAAAAATTTTTTTTTAGATACGAGGTCTTGCTCTGTTGCCTAGGCTGATCTTGAACTCTGGGCTCAAGAAATCCTCTCGCCTAGACCTCCCAAAGTGCTGGGATTACAGGTGTTAGCCACCACACCTTAGCCCTCATTTCCTATTTCTAACTTAGGCTACAGTGATGGTACAATGCTAGATAGCACTACCAATATGACTAAAAACCTGACTATCAAAAAGTTAAAATGAGCCGGGTTCAGCGGCTCAGCCTGTAATCCCACGCTTTGGGAGGCTGAGGTGAGTAGATTGCCTGAGCCCGGGGGTTCGAGACCCACCCGGGCAACTTGGTGAGACCTCATCTCTACAATAAATCAAAAGTCAGCTGGGCGTGGTAGCGTGTGCCTATAGTTCCAGCTACTTGGAAGGCTGAGGCGGAAGGATCGCCGGAGCCCAGTAGGTCGAGGCTGCGGTGGCCGGGAGCAGCCACTGCACTCCAGTCTGGGCGACAGAGTGAGACTCCAACATCTAAAGTTAAAATGTTTAGATGTTCTGAATTTAAGAAATCTAAAAATTGACAAACATTAGAAAAACAGTTACATGATTTCAAACCTGAACAGGCTCTTTGAGTTCAATCATTTCAATGACAGAAAAACTGAAGTCCAGTTTTATTAAGAACCAGTAAACTAAGCCAGGACAATACTCAGTGGTCTCAACTACCAGTCTAGTGTTTTTTGTGTGCGTATTTAAATCATGAAAATTTCAATGTACCTAAGTGACAAATTAGGTAGCAATACTTTATTTTACAGATGGATTTAAAATCAAAACCTTAAAAATTACTCTAGAAAATAATTTAAATTATAAGAAACATTTTCAATTAAAGGTAAAGTACATAGATTATGTCATGATTCCCCTTTCCCTCCATCACAAACACTGAATTTTTTCAGAAAGGTCTTAATGTGATGGCGCCTATCATGTATTCTCACACTGTGCTATATTTTTAAAAATTCTTAACAACAAACAAAATGAAATGTAGCCAGCATGTTACCCAGGACGGTAAGCTTCAGAGCCATCTTTAATGGTTGGCAGTGTAACTTTAATAGGGTGACCAGAAGTAGACATGGACTTCTGGTGGCGTGGTCGTGCTGAGGGAATAGCAGAGGTCACAGAAGAGCCTGCAGAGGATATGCTACTCACAGACATCTCGGTAAGGCTTTCGACATAAAGCAGTTGAGAAGACCATCGAAATTTTAAAAAAGAAGAAGAAAGAAAAGAAAAATTGCAGTTTACTAAAATTTAAAAACTAGATTTTCAAAAAATTTAAATTGATTAGCACATTTCATGACAGAAACACTTTAAAGAAACTACAATTAGTAGCATTAGTAGTGACTAATAAAACAATTAATATTCCTATTAAAAACACATAGGGTGAATGCATCACTATCTTTCATGGTAACAATCTTACACACAATCTGCTTTGTTATGGGGAAACATTTACTATCACGTTTTACTCAGAAATTCACGGGTAAAGAGATTTACCTCCTGTTTCCCCTAAATATTTTCCCATTCTTCTATCCTGGTACAGAAGAAGAGATACCTTAGTAAGAAGGGTTGGTTGTAATCTTACTATTTTGTATTTCCTTTTCTCCTGATCCATTTAGCTGTAGAAGTTTCAGCAAGAGCACTAGTGTAGAACAATAGCAAAGGTATTATTATTGGCACTATGACATTTACCTGCTGTCTTTTCCATTCTGCAATGCTGTGTATCGATCTGTGGTCCTTTCACAGACATATGTATTCCTTCTTGCCATGCTACCTCCAGAATACACATTGTTCTTTGAGAAGGAAAAAAGTCAATTTTAAAATTGTAACTATATTTGTGGAAAGTCAAAGAAATATATTTAAGCTGACTGAAAAAAATTCATAGAAGGATTTTAATTGATCAAAATCGTATATTAATAAGATCTGTCTCCTGCCTCTCTCTTTTTCTTTCTTTTACTTAGATTTCAGAATTAAAAGGCAAAGCATAAAAAACAAACTCATTACAGTTTTAGTTTTCTCTCCCTACAGCAGCAGTCAGCAGTCATTTGGAAGCGACTGGAAAGTTGGGTTTCTATTCACTCCCTCCTTTATTAGCTGGTGGTGGGGAACAGGTATGATAGGGGTACAGACAACTCTAAGAACAAGAGTCGACTCCACACTAAAGATCATCACCAGCAGGAACCAGTGGCAGTGAAAATGGCATGCCTACTTGGAAGTCCGTAGGTGCCCTTTCTTCATCTGCCTGGGAAACCTCCCAGCCAATGAGAATATGAAGGAGACTAAAGCTTCAGGATCAAAGGCACACCAAGCTGAGGACCCGATGGAGCTGTATGCAATACCATGCTGAGGATATTTCGTCTGGTCTTGGGTTTTGGCCAGGAGGCAGGCCAAATCTGAGGAACTTTGGAGTTAAGAGAAAAAATAAGCAATAAGAAATAGATTGGTGATTCTCCTTACCATGCACACAACCTTTGATCTATAACCCCTGTTGTTGCACCTGCCAAAACCTTGACTAGTTTGTCACTCGTAATAAAATACACAAAAAGGATTTTCAAAAGGGATAAAATACTCTTCTGTTTAATCCTTACTTAAACAGAAAAATAATCCCTAGTTTGGGTTAATCTAGCCTTCACTATTCTTCAAAATACAAAATTAACCCACAATTTGTTTACTCATGAGGGCTAGAAAGTTAGTAGATATTTGTTTGAATTCAGTTTGGAGAAGAAAAAACCATCATATAAACAAAACTGTGTAAGTACAGACTCAAAATCCTTCAATAGTGTAGGTTCCTGTGGAATGAATTTTGTTCCCAGACATATAAAAAGCGTAAATTAAAAATGCGACTGTCTTTTGCACATTGATTTTGCACTCTGCGACTCTGCCAGAGTCCTTTTTCAGTGCAAGAAGGTTTTTGACCAATTCTCTTGGGTTTTCAAGGTATAGGATCATATTGCTAGCAAAGAGGGATAACTTAACTTCCTCTTTTCCTATTTGGATACCCCTGATTTCCTGGTCTCGTCTGACTGCTCTAGCTAGGACTTTCAACATTATGTTGAACAGGAGGAATGAAGAGTGGGTAGTCTTGTCTTGTTTCGGTTTTCAGGAGAAACGCTTCCAATTTCTGCCCATCTGACATGCTGGCTATGGGTTTAAGGTAGATGGCTCTTACTAATTTGAAGTAAGTTCCCTCTATGCCTAGATGTTCAAGAGTTTTTATCAAGAGGGGATGCTGGATATTGTCAAAAACTTTTTTGTGTGTAATGATATAATCACGTGACCCTTTTTACATCTGCTGATGTACCAAATTACATTTATGGTCTTGCGGATGTTGAACCAGCCCTGCATCCTGGGGATGAAGCCTACTTGGTCATGGTGGATGATTTTTGAGATGTACTAGAGTCTTGTTGAGAATTTTTACATCTATGTTCATCAGGGATATTGGCCTGTAGTTCTCTTTCTTAGTTGGGTCTTCACCTGATTTGGGTATCAGTGTGATTTTAGCTTCATTAAATGATTTGGTTCTCAAGGCACTCAAATATGCCAAAAGGAAAAAAAACCAGCCTTGTTAAAAAGAGGGCAAAAGTATGAACAGATACTTCTCAAAAGAAGACATACAAGCAGCTAACAGATACATGAAAAAATTCTCAGCCTCACTAATCATCAAAGAAATGCAAATTAAAACCATACTGACATACCACCTAACTCCAGTCAGGATGGTCATTATTAATAACTCAAAGAACAACAGATACTGGAGAAGATGCGGGGAAAAGGGAACACTTCTACACTGTTGATGGGTGTGTAAATTAGTACATCCTCTGTGAAAAACAGTGTGGTGATTTCTAAAAGATCTAAAAATTGACCTTCCATGTGACCTAGCAATCCCTCTTCTGGGAATATACCTGGAGGAACCCAAATCATTCTACAAATAAGATACCTGTGCATGCAAGTTTATTGCAGGACTATTCTCAATAGCAAAAACATGGATACAAACATGCCGCCCATCAAAAGTGGACTGGATTTTTAAAAATGTGGTACATATATATGATGGAATATTATACAGCCATAATAAAGAAGGGCAAAATTATGGACTTCGCAGCAACTTGGATGGATTTATCTATCATACTCAGTATTACATGTTCTCACTCATAAGTGGACCCTGAACATTTATCATAATACTGTAAGAAAGGGATTGGCAGTAGCAGTACACTACCGGAAGGTGGGGGGAACAAAACATCAATAAGGGTACCTGGTTCCAAACCTGACAAAATGGGGATCAAAGGGAGGCCCAGACTTCGCCTGTATGATGACAACTTATATCCCTAATCCTGAACTGTACCCCACATCTTTAAAACAATGTGTATACATTCTTGGCACCCCCTTGTATATAACAGATTTGCTAAAAGATCACTCATCTTAAAGCATAAATTAAAAATTATAAAAATAGGCTAAGACTATTACAATTTATTCAGGTATGACTTGGTAAATGAATGTGACTATAGATATGAACTATACAATTAATTTAAAGTTCCTAAAAATCTAGAAATGTAATCTGCACTCCATAGTTTAAAACAAATTGTTTCAAGACCTGCTTTCCCATTTAATATATCATTAACATCTATCTATGTCAAGTGATACAAAAGTTTTATGGCTGTAGTGTATGCAGCTCTTCTTTTACTTTAATCATATTTTAACCAATAAGTTCCTAATGTTTGAACATTTAAATTATTTCCTACTTTGCTTTTTCAAGCTGGTGAGTAGGTCTAACTGCCTAGAAATCAACTGGAAATTTAAAATCCAAAGGAAAAATTCTAGAAATAAGAATAGGAAATAGGGGGAAAAAATCCTGGAAAATTACTAAAACTGTTAGAAATTACTAAAAGACATAAAATCACCCCATAGGCACCAAATGTACCAATATAAGAATATTTACACATAGATGCTAAAATTCTCAACAAGATCCTAGCAAACCGGATTCAGCAATACATCTCAAAAATCATCCACCATGACCAAGTAGGCTTCATTCCTGGCATGCAAGGCTGGTTCAACATTCGTAAAACCATATATGTAATTAAATACATCAACAGTGGCCTGCCCCTCCCCGGAGGCGGCGGGGGCGGCCGGGGCCGCGCCGCACCGCACCGCGCGGGCGGCCATGGAGCGCGCCTAGGGCCCGACAGGAATTGTGGAAGGCGCTTCAGTGAAGAAATGGACCAGTGTGTATAGCCATGGACTCTCCTTACTAACCATCACCACCTGTTCTCCTTGATAAGTGAGCCAGAGAGCGGCCAGGTAGAAGGAAACCAGGTCACCATGAAGCTAAAGCAGCGAGTTGTGCTGTTAGCAATTCTCCTTGTCATCTTTATCTTCACCAAAGTTTTCCTGATTGACAACTTGGATACATCAGCTGCCAACCGGGAGGACCAGAGGGCTTTTCACCGAATGATGACTAGCTTGCGAGTGGAGCTGGTGCCCAGGCTGGACCACACCTTGCAGTCTCCCTGGGAGATTGCTGCCCAGTGGGTGGTTCCTCGGGAGGTGTACCCTGAAGAGACACCAGAACTGGGGGCAATCATGCATGCCATGGCCACCAAGAAAATCATTAAAGCTGATGTGGGTTATAAAGGGACACAGCTGAAAGCCTTACTAATACTTGAAGGAGGACAGAAAGTTGTCTTCAAACCTAAGCGGTATAGCCGAGACTATGTGGTAGAAGGGGAGCCGTATGCTGGTTACGATAGACACAATGCAGAGGTGGCAGCCTTTCACTTGGACAGGATTCTGGGTTTCCGCCGAGCCCCCTTGGTGGTTGGCAGATTTGTTAATCTTCGGACAGAGATCAAGCCTGTTGCCACGGAGCAGCTGTTGAGCACATTCCTAACTGTAGGAAACAATACTTGTTTCTATGGGAAATGTTATTACTGCCGAGAAACAGAGCCAGCATGTGCTGATGGAGACACAATGGAGGGTTCTGTCACACTTTGGCTTCCAGATGTGTGGCCTCTGCAGAAACACTGACACCCGTGGGGCAGGACTTATCGGGAAGGCAAACTGGCCAGGTGGGAGTATGATGAGAGCTACTGTGATGCAGTAAAGAAGACGTCCCCTTATGACTCTGGCCCACGCCTCTTGGACATCATTGATACAGCTGTCTTTGACTACCTGATTGGCAATGCTGACCGCCATCACTATGAGAGCTTTCAAGACGATGAGGGTGCTAGTATGCTTATCCTTCTCGATAATGCCAAAAGCTTTGGGAACCCCTCACTGGATGAAAGAAGCATTCTTGCCCCCCTCTACCAGTGTTGCATCATTCGAGTTTCTACCTGGAACAGACTGAACTACCTGAAGAATGGTGTGCTAAAGTCTGCCTTAAAATCTGCCATGGCCCATGACCCCATCTCCCCAGTGCTCTCCGATCCTCATTTGGACACCATGGACCAGCGGCTCCTGAGTATCCTGGCCACCATGAAGCAGTGCACTGACCAGTTTGGGATGGACACTGTACTGGTGGAAGACAGGATGCCTCTCTCCCACTTGTAATTCTCAACACAAAATAAGTGAAACTTCTTTTTACAAAGATAGAGAAACAGCAC